TTCTATAGGATATTTTAGCGTAAGAATACCCCTCTTGCTTTGTGCCTCGTCGCCCACGTAGCTGTCTTTTTGACCCATGCCCACCATCACACCCTATGGTTATAAAAACAATATTTTTATCGGTCGATTCGTTTGTTCGTCAGGATAGTATCGATATTAAATCTAATTTATGAATAAAACGTACCTGATGACGCGGTCTCCCTACAATACTAGGGAAGACAGCTCTCGGTGCATCGTCTCCAGCGAATCCGGCTTTGCACATGCCTGAACCATTGTCGACAACGAGCGCCGCAACATCATCATCGCACATCTTGAAGGGCTGTTAGCAACGTTTCTTTCTGCGAATTAATGGATGAAATTAATAGTTCCTTGTTTTTCCTATTTGCATTCAATTATAACCATCATTTTGATCTAATAGGAAAGTTCGGTAGGTAATTGTTCATTTAGTGAAAACAAAAAGACCAGTTCATATCGACTGTAGACACTCTCAACAAAAAATAGTAGAAACAATATATCAAGATACGTTAACGAATCATTAAACGATTATATGTATTTTCACAGGTAGATACTAGCTGAAATTAAATTTCCGAAGATTATGCTTGGCATGTATCATGGTATCCTTATATTTCATCACGTACCACCATGCAACATTTATTAAACGTTTACACTTGACACAAATTTCAAAGTGTATGTGGGTAAAACTATGCGATTGATTAGTACTATCCGATAGCCCGATACACTTAATACGATAAACGCGATCACGATAATCACAAGATTGACTATTTACGTAATTATCTTGAAAGAAGAAATAAAAAGTAATAGAAGTAGTAAGCGTAGTAAGAAGGAAATGAGAATGAGAAAAAGAATCTATTGACGGGGAAGAAGAAGAAGCGTTGGGTAAAGGAAAGTAAAAAGACAGGCGCAAGAGTTGCGTCCTCCGTAACGAAATTTACCGTTCAGAGCTGGATGATCGAATAGATCGAATAGGCGAGGATCTCTTAGGGACGAACGTCGTGCAAGAAACCGAAAGCGACGAGTGGCGCACCGCCTGCTCTGTGGGGTACCTTTATCCATATCGGTTCGCAGCCGAAAATAGCGATCCGCCCCTTAGATGGAAATCTGCTGTACGTTAACGCGCGCATCGTCGTCTGCCGCCGACGTTGCTGCCGCCACCGCCGCCACCTAGTCCTTAGTCGCCCTAAGAGCGACGTCGAGAGGGAGACGTCGACGACGTGCTATTCCCGACGGTTCCCGAATCCAAATAAGGACTCGTTACACCGCAGGGCCGTCCTCCTCGGGTGCTTTTCACCTAAACGAAGGTACCAAGAGACAGACGGTCGTCGGTATGCCTCTAGTTTATGCTGTCTTTTCTTCTTCTTCTTCTTCTTCTTCTTCTTTTTCTTCTTCTTACTGCATTAATCTTCTCTTTCCTCTCCTCTTCTTCTCTTTTTACTTCATTATTTCTTTATTCTGAAAAGTACTGCTTCTGTAAAAGAAAAGAAAAGGATGTAATGAGCCATGAGTAGCCTAGATCGGGTAGGCAACGTTGTGTGAGATCCTGTAAAAGTCCTTTTGACTTCATCGAGATAAAACATCATTTTTTTTCTACGTAGCCATATAGATCGCATGCGAATAAATCGCGGCCGTTTTACACGATTTATATGATTTCTCATAGAAATATTAGTTATCATTACGCTATCGTGCAATAGTCGAACGAAGATGATCTAAGAGGATAGTTTGTAGAACATATTTCAAGTTCAAATGTTCGGGAATAATTGATCTTTGTAGAAAAAGAATGATCGTTTAAATATGGATTAGAGAAATAATGATTTTTTATTTGGTGTCATTTAAAATGTACCGGGCGACGAGAAATACTCGATCCACCATCGAACCCTCCCCCACTTTACCTTACTGTGCTACCGTCGATGTTGGTCGTCGATTCAGCGGACGATTCGACGGACGACAGATTCGTGGACTTCGCATTACTGATTGTGGCTTTCAATATTGAAAGGACGCGTCGTTGTTAATGTTTTTTTAGTAGTGCTTCATTTGCATACGTAACGGTGATTCATTTAAAGAAGATTATTATGAAGAAATGAGTGCAATTCCATCATCTTTCACCGTATACAAGCAAGTATATGAGGGTGAACATTTTCTTAGATTAAACTTCAATGATTAACGATAATTAACGATAGTTGACGATAGTTAACGATTACTTATGTCCCATTAATGGTCCCAATAATCGATGGTAAGGCGTATACATGAAATAATCATTTTTTGTTCCTTCGATTTCGATAGATAAAAAGTATTTGTGAAAGAGTTAGAAGTTGGAATAATTTCTCGTTATACATGTTATATTGTATTTACTATTTCACTAGACATACATGCAAAGTGTTTAAATTGGCATTGATGCAATTTTCATTAATATAAATCTTGATTTATACAAATCCTATATAATACGTTCAAAGTCCAAATCAAGCTATCCTTCTAATTGAAAATGAAATTTTCAGATTCGACGATAAGTATCGACGGTCAATGCAGTCGAATGTTGCTCTCTTCGTTGAACATGCATATATCTACTAACGTGTTACCTGGATTTTCATTTCCGCTGGGTATTGGATGATGGATCGTTGTTAGCCACATCGGTGAAAGGCATGGGACATCATTAAGGACGTGGTAATTTTTCAAAAATTATTATTGACTCATTGTCCAGTGCACAAAGATGTAAATGCATGACCACTAGATTGAATTCTCCTTTGCGTAGACGGTCAATTATTTTCTTTTCCTTTTACGTTATCTGTATACATATGCAGAATTAGTTGAATGTAGAAAGGAAATGTTGTTAATTATACCTAGATTAGACTATTTTCAATAAATCCGTTTAATACACGGTCCCTGCAACTAAACATTATTTCCATTTACCTTATGTCCGGATTTCAAAGACAAATTAATATTCCGTGAATATTCATTTTCTATAATCATTGTCGTCCATGCGTTCTCCTAATGCATAAAAAGGCTAAAAACCGACATATGACAATGGCAAATGTGCAATATAAGTATAAAAGCAAATCATCCCAGAAATGATTGCACGGAATTTGTAGCTTTCCAGAATATACGATTCTGAATTTTTGAATAATTAAAGTAATTAGAAATATTAAAATGATTAGAAAGATAGGTACGAAAAATTTCTTCAAGAGAAATTGTATATATATATATATCGTAAATATCTCGTAAAACGCTAAATAAAAGCTAACTACGTTTATCTAGTTGTAAATTTAGATTTCATTTCGTATATCAATCGCAATTAAAAGTATTAAAAGATTGTGAATAAATTCGATTTTATTCCAACGTTATAATTCCAAAATATTATCAAAAAAATAAGTTTAATGATAACGTAAATAATAATCCGAATGTGAGTTATGCATATAAAGGGTAACAAATGAAAGATTACTAATTACACCGCTGTGAAAATATAAGTTTGATTTATTCCATTGAGATAGAGATGTAGATCCATATAAATATATATATATATATGTACATACACACACATGTCTGAACATGTATGTATATATTTATATATATATACACACACACATAAAAGATGACGTTTAAATTTAATTAATGGCAAAAAGAATACTGATCGCTACTGCTAATAAGGTGGTCGTTCTGGCCGTAGTTAAAGATTACCAACAGTGAAATAGAAATAATTGACATGTAACTAGATGAAATAGTACGGAATAATTAAGTGTATCTGCGTAAATAATATAGCAATAACAATCGTTTTTAAGAATATAATTGCTTAGAAGCACTTGCGGTGAACGATGCCAGGACCAGACTCGTCATACTCTTGCTTCGAAATCCACATCTGTTGGAAGGTAGATAGGGAAGCGAGAATGGAGCCACCGATCCATACGGAGTATTTCCTCTCGGGAGGTGCAATGATCTTGATCTTGATGGTCGAGGGTGCGAGGGCGGTGATTTCCTTCTGCATACG